AAGAAGGGGGGAGTAAGAAGAAGAAGGGGGGAGTGTTACAAAATACTGTTACAAAATCGCTACAAACAAGAGCGAACGTTATTCATTGTTGCATTTCACCCAGAACTTTACTGCGGTACTGTAATTGTGTACCCAACTCCCGAACTACTTGCCTGATGTATACTCGTTATATGAACGGCGGACTACCAGGACCCTGGCGTGTGCCGCCACTTAACCCCGGTCACCTCTATAACAACCGAACAACCGACCACCCTAAGAGCGGAGTGTGTCTCCACTTGATCACCCAAAGAGTTGTGGTCTGCGGTTAACCGCAACCTAATTGACGGCCTCAGGGCATTCACGTTCGTGTCCCATCGCCCGATACTCAAAACACCGAACGGGTACCGAACAAGGACCACCTACAGCCTGTCGTGTGGCCCCAATTAGAACGTTGGTTTCTGCGGTTAACCGCAGGTTAAGTACCCCACTCCCAGCGGCCTTCATTTGTCTCCCGAACAACGGAGACATCCAGCAACAGAGCGGGGATTCGTGCAGACTTCTAGCCGGTTCCTGTTCCACAAGTTTGAGGGTGAAGTCCCGCGGCCTATTAGTTTACCTCAAAACATGGCCGCCATCGCACGCTCAGAACCCAAAGACATGAACAGACTTTATTTCGGGGAAATTAAGCGTACCATTCGTCAGTTCTGAGCGCTCTTCGGTTAATTGTTTTGCCTCAACAGGGGCTATGTAATGAATGGTAGAAGACACAAATTATATATAAAACTGTTAGCGTTATGTATTTTTATCCAGTTTTTTATGTGGCAAAAACACGTGGGATTTTGGATGCTTGGAGATAATTGTATTGTCATAACCGTTGGATTCATTATCTCCAAGCTGGGCGGTGACAATTTCAAACGATGCATTGTATTCTTATTGGTACCCCACTTATATTGTCCCTGTATTCCATCAGGTCCAGAGGGGGCTGTCCCTGGGCCTGAGATTTTGCATAAATACGGTTCCCTGTGTGTCATTAAAGCCAGTTCTTGCTTGACCTTCAAATCGCAGCCTCGACTCGTTTTGTGGGGAAAAGGGTATCCTAGCTATATTATAGCTAGTGGGATTGCTCTACATTTACAGGATTCGTATGGACTAACTACCGAAGCGGCTCTTCTCCCTCTCTACTTTTGGGATCCAGACCAGTCAAGTGGTCCAGCTTCCAGCTAGCCTGGGGGTAACTGTAACAGGGAGTAAGAAGAAGAAGGGGGTAGGAAGAAGAAGGGGGGGTAAGAAGAAGGGATGGGTAAGAAGAAGGGGTGGGTAAGAAGAAGAGGGGGTAAGAAGAAGGGGAGTAAGAAGAAGGGGGAGTAAGAAGAAGAAGGGGGGGTAAGAAGAAGAAGGGGGAGTAAGAAGAACCCAGGGAGGAGGGGGGGGTAAGGGTGAGGAGAAGGGGAGATGAGGAGAATGGGGGGGGACTGAGAAGAACACAGGGAGGGTGGGTGGTGAGGAGAACAGGGGAGATTGAGAAGAACACAGGGAGTGGAGAGGAGAAGGGGATATGAGAAGAACACAGGTAGGGTGGAGGTGAAAAGAACACAGGGGGTTAGGAAAACACATGGAGGGGGGGAGTGAGAAGAGCACAGGGGGGGTGGGTGAGTGTGAGAAGAGACCGCTAGGGGAGGGTGGGGGAGAGCTCTAACGGACAGAACGGACAGCTCAATAGGACAGGGGGCAAGACAGGGAGCTCTTTCACACTATGTGCACACGCACACACAATGCATCCCTATACATACACAGAAACACACAATGCATCCCTACACACACAGAAACACAACATGCTTCCCTTACACACAGAGAAACAGAATGCATCCATTACACACACAATGCAACCCTCACACACAAAGACAACACATCCTTTGCACACATACACAGAAACACACAATGCAAACCCTTACACACACATGCAAACACACACACTGCTTTTCTTACATACACACAGAAACACAATGCATCTCTTACACACACTCAATGCACACACATACAGACACACACACCTTGCATCCCTTATGCATACAAACACAGATTCACACAATGCATCCCTTACACACAACCAGAAACACACAATACATCCCTTATACACAAATACATACTGCTTCCACTACACACAAACACACTGCATCACCTACACAAACTGGTATCCCTATACACTACATAGTATAAGCACACATATTATATCCTCTACAATAACACATAACACATCCCCTACACACTCCACTCCCTGTGAGCGAACTCATGGGTGGGTGGAACATATACGTGGACTTATGAGTGGGCCTTATGGGCATACTCACCGTCAGGCCCTGGGGCCCAGACCTTGAGCTGTATAAGGGGCCACAAAAAAATGGAGCTGCTTCCAATTCTCCCAGAACATTGAATTTTGTGACCACAGTTGCAAACAGCCTCCAGAGATCCTGTTCTACACCAGACCAGTGGAGCCAAACTGCAGCCCATCATCATCCTCATTTGGTTGTAAGAAGGCAATCTAGTATGATATTAGTGACACTAATCTATAATTTACCTCACATTAAAGGGACACTATAGCCCCCAGAACCACTTCAGCTTAATGAAGTGGTTCTGGTGTCTATAGCTGGTCCCTGCAGGCTTTTTAATGTAAACACACACTGTGTGCAGCACTGGCGTTAGTTCATATGGAAGATCATATGGGTGGGGCATTGTCATGTCACATGAGGGACTGCAAATTTTTCTTTTGCCTAGGGCAGCAAAAATCCTTGCACCGGCTCTGATCCTGGGCAAGTGCACCAGTCTACTGGTAACCCACAGGAGGGGAGTGCACTGATTGCACTGCACTCTCCTCCTGCCCAGACCCGTCTTTACCGCAATGCAAGTGCCCTCTGCCCCTAATTTACAGTGGCTCACACTCACAGCCAGCAGTGCCTGGAGCCCTTTGCAGAGATGGGAACAAAGAGGTTCTGCGACAGCTGGCCATCCTGCAAGGATTACATTAACCAGCTGTTCCCCATGCAGCCACAGGTGGCGCTGTGCTGGGGGAATGTGATTACTCGTCACTTCCTCCCAGCCTAGAGAGCAGCGCATGGGAGAGAGATAGAGGAGTAAGCAAATCTTTATAAATTTGGGGGGGACCAGCTCTGTTTCCACAGTTTATTGGTGTTTACTCTGATGTCTGTATTAATATTGAGGGATTTCTAAGTACTAACATCAGTGTATGTCAGCAGGGCCAGCCGTTGGGGTGTGCACGCTGTGCGGTCACGCAGAGTGCCATGACAACAGAGGCGCCCAGTGGCCAACACAGCTCACAACTTGGGGACACCAGCATATTCAATTTAAACGATTCGCTGGTGGTCCACTGGTGTAGGTGCAGTCAGATTATAGCCTCTCCCTCCTTGTTCCGGCGCTCAGTTAGTGAGTCGGAGCACAGGCTCAGAGATTCTCAGCCTGCGCTCTGACAACATTGAAAATCAGAGCCGTGAAGGAGCAGGTATGGCAAAGAGCTACTGATTAGCATAACATCAATATCCGTTATAAAACCAGGAAAAGGTGGGCATGGATGGTGAACTGATTTGGTGGTGCAATGGGCCACTTGACTGGTTTTGCCCCCAAGGCCTAAGGCTGCCAGCCCTCCACTGATAACCAGGGCACACATTGCATTGGAATAGGGGAAACCAAAAGATTTTTCCTGTGTCTCACTTCTCACTAACTGTGTTAAATGCAAGTTATGGAGAGGGCACTATGCTTAAAGGACACTTGCAAAACATTAATGAAATATTGCACAATGATCAGAATAGCTTTATACACTCATATTGAAGTTAAACATGCCCATCCTAACCCACCAAGAGTCAGCAGATGTTCACCACAGCGTATATCTGGAAATGACCATTCCCTGTGGCTTAATATAGTTATTTTTTTCACAAAGCGAAGTACAATTAATTTATTCCAATAAGGATGCTAAGGTGGCTTTGTCACCGTTTGAAGTCTTTGTATCATTTGCAAAGAGCCCAGGCGGTGACTTTGCAGCTGGTTGTCCAGTTGCCACAGGGGAAGGTGAGTTATACTTGCCTGAACCTGTTCATCGCGACTGGTGCTTCAGCTACATACACAAGAGTACAATACTGAGATCTATGGAGGATCCTGCAAATCCTGAATTGTAAGAATAATTGTATGTTATTTCTGTTCTTACCTGTACAATAAAAATAGAATATATTGTATTTCCTCTGGACTATTCTGTGCTGTTTTCTGCTTTCTGGATACCATATCCTTGCTGGGGAATATACCACCTAAGCTCTATGAATTGAACAAACCTCCCTTTCTTCTGGATCTTCTATTCATTAGCACTTATTTCTGATACAATGTGCACCATATAGTTTTTGTTCTCTATTTAATATTTCTACTGAGAGATCTCCAGCACCTATATATCCCAGAGTAGGTATTGTACCCCTCCGTGCTGATTAAAAGGAATTATTTTGTCTCAACTATATGTGAGTGCATTTTTACTTACTTACCAACCATCCACTGAATATACTACACTATATTGGTTCCTCTTTCTCTCTTTTTTTGTCTACCAAATATCCTATGGAGTACCAAGTTCAAAGTAAATGATTAACTTCAAATTCATATGCAGGGATTGTACAGCTCAAGCACATGATTTGGAGCTATCCTATAGCTCCATAAAATGTAAGTGCATCTCTTTATCTTATTCCATGACATACTACACTATCAGGTTCTACTTTAGTCACATCCAGATAGATATTACAATAGGGAACCTGCTGGGTGAATCTAAGGATACAAAAACAACAGTAGGGAGAAGCCTGCTGGGCTCCTTTAAGTAGCAACGTGAAACATATATTGCAATGCCACGATATCCCTGAGGGCATTTTATAGATTATCTTTTACTTACCTCGGTTGCCCTTGTTATCCACATACCACATATGTGCAAATCACAAGTCTTTAGTTTTTATTTATTTAATTATTTATGTATGTAATGTGGCAGCTATTCCTTTCTTTATGTTCCTTATTAAGATGTGAAATTTAAAATGCAGCAGAACATCAAGAACCAGCCTGTAGTATAATATTGTGGGATTTAGATGACAAACCTGCTTCCAGAACAGAACAGATTCAATCCCAGTTCAATCTACTACGGTTATAATTCCTGTTTGGAAATGATAAGTGCGAGGACTGTATGAATAAATGCACTCATAACCAAGCTAACATACAAATAAATCAGCTTTTCACATTAGGCATGTGCAATCTTTGTGGATTAATATATTATTTACATTATGCCATTAAGGTTTATAGAGCACTCATTTCGCTGTCCACTGTGAGTTATATAAGATTCATTTAAATTGGTGTACACTGTGTATCATTCAGGAGTCCAGCAGCTTATTAAGGGATACATTTATGTTTTTCAAAAAAATGAATTGAAGGATTAGTAAAAGTCATCCTCGTAGAAAATAGCCATGCTTACTTGTGCTTCAAAGATTTTCAAAATGCTCTATATTTTAAAGGAAGTAGCTATTGAGATCTGCGTGGGGGGACACACACATATTTGAAATGAAACCGTATCTTGATTGCCTTCTTGACCGAATACAAGAAAATATAAATTAATGGCCAGTGGCAAAAAATTCACCCATATTAGAATGATATTATGGCAGCCCGTTTCTACAATACTCATTGTCATTCAATAGCGCAAACAACAAAAAAAGGTTTGTTATAACAAAAATATGTACACATTTTACAAAAATTGTAAATGTCTACATGGCAAGATATTGGAGAGGCATTAAAGCAGAATTATCACTTATTTGGAAATTACACAACTGAATAACACATTGAAAATACCTATAACATTTGTTAACATTTTGTAATGCGATGCTCTGTTTACTGTTATAATGTATATTAAAGATTTAGCAACTGACACAGGAACAGCCAGTGCACATAAACCAAATGAAGAGAGGAACAGAAACATTGTTTCAGATTCTAATCTTCAACAAACTATGCTCAATGGCAGGAAAAAGGTAATTTTTAAAAACTTTTTTAAAATGACTGACAAGGAGCCAAAATAGAGTCACCTATTTCCAGGATAGATTATTGCATTTCTATATTCAGTTATATTTTTCCGACCTAACAAAACCATGCTAGCTAAATGTAGGGTATAAGTAAACAGAATATGAAAAATCCTAGCAGGTGGCACTTCCCTTTTAACCCCTTAAGGACACAGGGACAATTGTGCTGATCAAAACAAAATGTAAACATAACCTTTAATTTGCATTATATGTCTGTTCACCCGTAATTCACCTTTCATATTAAATACACCCACACCTATTATATATCATTTTTTTTCAGGAGAAACATGGCTTTCATTTCACATCAAATGTTTAGATATGCTTGTTATAGGAATAAAAACGTAAAAAGTGTCAAAAATTAGGACATTTTGTTATTTTCTTAGTTTTGCATGGCATTTTAACTGTGAATGTCATAATACTGTTAGCTTTCACTGCAATAAAATACACATATTTGTGTTCAGCAATGTCTCACGAGTACAACATTTTTAAATGTATTTTTCCCACTAATATATATGTATTTATTTTACTTTCAGGCACTAGGGGGACCCCTGCAGGCAGCTCCATTGCCAGATATTGCGGCCATGTGATCATTTGACCACATGGCCCGCACGGGGCTAAAAGGCAGCGGAGGTGCTCCAGGGGGACTGCCGGGGCTTAAAGGCAGTTACCCCCTCCGACCGGGCTCACGGCGATTGGTAAGTATAGATTACCGGCGGTGGGGCGCCGAACTGCTGGGCGTTCTATGCCACCCTGCGGCATTAAAGCCCAGCTTTTCCAGAACAGCATAGAATGTAGTACGATGGGTTGTTTTGATGTTTGTGTGTTTTGTTTTTTAATATCATCATTCATGACAGGCAAAATATTTGATGCACTCAGGCATAAAAGAATATAAAGATACAAGTGCTGTCAGAAAAAACAAGAGTGTTCAGCCTCCTCGCCTGTCCTCATCAGCATCATCATATGAACCCTTATCTTGGACAGATATTGATAAACTTCCAGCTACACAAACCACTAAGTGGAAGGAAACGGCAAAAGCAGAAATTTAATCCTTACTCAAAAACAACACGTGGCTTCTCGCTGAGTTACCTAAATATAAAAAGACCAAAGGTTGCAAGTTGGTACACTGGATGCAGAAGGAAATGTATTCTGTTACAAAACTAGATAGTAACAAAAGGATTTACTCAGGAAAATGATGAGAACTTTGTACCTGTAGTCAAGTTCAGCACAATCAGAACACAATACTAACTACTGCAGCAGCTAAACAGTTTTATGTAAAGCAGCTAGCTGTCAAGTAGGCGTTCTGGAATGGTATAATAGAGGAACAAGTTTACATGATGGAGCTTGGAGGATTTGAAACAAATAAAGGTATAATATGCAAGAAACAGAAAGGATTGTATGGACTCAAACAATGTGCCAGAGAATGAAATGAGAAATTATGTGAAATACTTATAGAACAAAATTAATTTAGAGTCAGGCAGACCATGCCTTTTTACCAAAGAAATGGAAAATGGACGTATCTACTAGTTTATGTAGATAATTCGATATTGAGCAGTGAAAGTCAACAGGACTGTTCAGAGATTGTTATTCAATTGAACAAAAAAGAATAGTAAGTATGTGGCAAAGGGACTGATTAGTGACAAAAGGAATAATAAAGTAACAGAACCTTAAAGGAACACTATAGGCACCTAAATTACTTTAGCAAAATAAAGCAGTTTTAGTGTATAGATCATTCCCCTGCAATTTCACTGCTCAATTCACTGTCATTTAGGAGTTAAATCACTTTGTTTCTGTTTATGCAGCCCTAGCCACACCTCCCCTGGCTATGATTGACAGAGCCTGCATGAAAAAAAAACTGGTTTCACTTTCAAACAGATGTAATTTACCTTAAATAATTGTATCTCAATCTCTAAATTGAACTTTAATCACATACAGGAGGCTCTTGCAGGGTCTAGCAAGCTATTAACATAGCAGGGGATAAGAACATCTTAATTAAACAGAACTTGCCATAAAGAAAGCCTAAATAGGGCTCTCTTTACAGGAAGTGTTTATGGAAGGCTGTGTAAGTCACATGCAGGGAGGTGTGACTAGGGTTCATAAACAAAGGGATTTAACTCCTAAATGGCAGAGGATTGAGCAGTGAGGCTGCAGGGACATGTTCTATACACCAAAACTGCTTCATTAAGCTAAAGTTGTTCAGGTGACTATAGTGTCCCTATAATATTTGTAGAAATTCAGAAGAGGTAACCTACACTGAGCTCTCTATTTGAACTCTATTGACTCTCTATATGAACTCTACACTGAGCTCTCTATTTGAACTATTTGAAAATGCTGCAGATCATTAGCCTCTTGGCGACTCGCTACTTATACTAACATGGACAGAGTTTGGTCTTTTGTAGACTTCTTGCTTAATTCTAAATCAGATCCGAATTAATGTTGCCCAGGTTCCTAGGCAGGGTGCCAGATTGAGGTCTCCTTCAAGGGTCTTGGACTCTGTTTCTGCACAATTAGATGTCCTATCTTAATCAAGGAAACTACAACAGAGAAATATTCAAAGCACTGTGCTAAATGGCAGCTATACAAGGCTGTTAATGAGGGAAGAACTTTATCAACTGCATGATATCATCACACATAGACATGTACTGACTACAGACTCAGTTCTTGTAAGCTTACAATTGTCTGGAGGTTTGAAATAGAAAGCGGGGGACTTTTTAAAAGGAAGATAGCAGTGGGGGGGGGGGAGGGAGATGAACAACATATAAATAAAATATAGAATTTACATGTATTGATTTATTTGTTCAGAAAGTATTTTTACGATTAGGATTCAGGATTTTACTTGAAGACTGGATATTTTGGATGACTGTCCTTCTGAATACAGTACATCTTGACATTAGAGAGATACTATCGACACTAAAGCAACTTTAGCTTAATTAAGCAGTTTTTGTGTATAGACCATGCCTCTGAAGATTCACTGCTAAATTCTTTGCCATTTAGGAGTTAAATCACTTTTGTTTCTAGTTATGCATCCCCAGCCACACATCCCCTGACTGTGACTGACACAGCCTGCATGAAAAAATAGTTTTATTTTCAATCAGAAAAAAAAAGTTACATTTTTAATCAGAAAGAAATGGTTTTATTTTCAGTCAGAAATTATTATTTTTTATTTCCAATCAGACGCTAAGTTTTTATCTCCTCTGCTCTGTATTTGTTCCTCTAATACATACAGGATGCTTCTGCAGGATCTCAAATGCTATTATTAACAGAGCAGGAGATAAGATATATTAAATTAAACAGAATGTGCAATAAAAAGAGTATTTTACTTACCTCTTTTCAGCTCCGAGACTCCCTTGGTTGCTGCTTACCTCTCCTCAGCCCAAGGCGTCATGGAAGAAGACATAGCCTCCTCAGGGGTCAGTCCAATCCAACGCTCCTAATTAAGGATCCATGGGGACCTGATGTGCGCGCATCAAATTTCCCTATAGGAACGCACTGAATCAAAGTTTTACTTGGTTGCTGCAGCAGGAAGTGCATCTAATGGCTGTCAATAAGACAGACACTGGAGTTGTGATTAACTCTGCAAGATGAGTATGGCGGTTCTCAAAAAATTGTGTTTAACCATTGCAGGGTTAAACTTTCAGGACCACTACAGCTAGGCCCCTTCATTGAGATAAAGTGGCCTTGGTGACTTGAGTGGACCATTCTTGCTTGTTACATTAACTATGTACATGAAGCTCTGTATCTCTCTTCCAATCAGAAGTGTTGCTCCAATAACACAGTTGTGCATGTAATCAGGAAACACAATTAAGGTTTTGTGGAATCGAAGTTCACCTAACAGCTTTCATAAGTACTCAGGACATACTTGAAAATGAGAGAAATCTCAATGTATCCTTTCTGGTAAAATATTTTATAAATAATAAATAAGTAGAAAACCGATGTCTATACACTAAGAGTTTTGAAATCTGCACGTTAGCACCCCATAGAAACTGCAGTTACATAGTTTGAAATTGACAGATTTATAGGTGAAAGAGACTCTTCTGTGTCGGCTAGTTACTATCACATTTCTATTTCTCTGCAAAGAGAGTAAAGCAGCTAACATCTAATCCGTACTTTAACCCTTGAGTTAAATGTGTCCAACAGTTCATACTCCACTAGCCAGAATAAGGGTGTCCAGATTGGCAGAGCTACACTGTTTAAAGGGATTCTATAGTGCCAAAAAAGTGGTTTTCCTGGCACCATAGAATCCTAGAGCCCTCCCACCCGCGGCGCAGAATGGGGTTAAAACACCTTGAGTGACTTATCTGAATCCAGTGCCGTTGTCCTTCAGCACTGGGTCAAACTCTGCTCACGCTCATCCCAGCGCTTGCATTAGCATTTCCCCCATAGGAAAGCATTATTCAATGCTTTCCTATGGGCAAAAATTTGACGCTGGAGGTCCTCATGCAAAATGTGAGGACATCCAGCGTCAGATAACAGACCAAAGGTTTATTTCAAACCAGGAATCCTTCTAGTGGCTGTCTGGTAGACGGCCACTAGAGGTGGAGTTAACCCTGGATAGTAATTATTGCAGTTTCTCAATAACTGCAATAATTACTAATGCAGGGTTAAGGGACATGGGGCATTGCACACAGACCACTTCAATTAACTGATGTTGTATGGGTGCCTACAGTGTCCCTTTAATGCACAAAGCTAAAAGCTTATGATTTAATATGTGGGGGAGTGCACAAAAAAGTAGGAACTTTAAATATAAGTACCATTTTTTTTTTAAATGTTTTTTGTACATATTTTTTTCCAATTAGTTATCTTTATCATGCATATAAAAATGAGTGTGCCACTTCCATAGTAGAGTGATCTTTTAAAGACACATTACCATGATTTGCTGTTTTAGAGCTCTGTGGTTTTGGGATACCAGGATTATAAAGAAACAGAATAGCTCACCCTCGTAAAAATGCATTTTAAAAAATAAATAAAATAAAATAATATATATATATGTCTTCCGCCACTGACTCATTATTATTAGCCACTGACTTGTCATTATTAATCATTGGATTTTTGATAGGATGAGCATTGTGAACTGCAAGCAGACTGCTAACATTGATCCTGCAACTTGCACAATGTCATCATTCCACACAGTACAGTCTCTTATGCAAACATCTGAAAAGCGACATTCTAAGTCTCCATAAAACTTCCAAAAATTCACTAAAATTCTTTTAACCGCAGTTTCTGGGATGGAAATAAAGTCTGGATTTTCTAGGGCATTTACTGTAAGGGGAAATTGACTTAATGTATCATCACAGCGCACAGGCAAACATTCAGACCACAGACTATAATGAGTTTCAAATGATACGCAAATCAAGTCAAAGTCTGGTTTCCATCTTCCAAATTAAACATGGTGCTTCAGAATATCATTCAACTTTACAAATAACTGTGTCCTCTGTCCTACGATATTGCATTGGAGTAAAATAAAATGTTGCATAAATGATTTACTGTTATTCAATATAATATAACATTATGGGGACATATCTATAGATTATCCTTTAAAAACTCGCTGGGGTTTATTCACAAAGCAAAGATCTGCACTAGCCAAGGAGATGATGATGACAGAAGATGTGGACGTTAATGGTAAAGTGTGCAGTGTTTAAGACAATAAGCATGATTAAAGCAAACTGACAACCATATTAACACGCTGGGAAATTCATTTATTTTTACTGTGTAATAAATAAACCTTTACTGTTTTATGATATACATACACGACGTGGATATAGAGGGTATATAAATAATACAATGCCTAATCCTAGAAATAAAAAATGGGTGGAAGGATGGAGCAGGGATGGATGTTTAACAAGGTCTACCTTTATATATTCTAGAGCTGCTACAGTTGCATGGGACTCCCTCCCTGACCAGGAATAGGTTCTACCAATCAGAAGCCTCCAATTTTGGTCTCTGCGGTCTAATCTTATCCCATAAACTTCGGTCCAGAATGCCACATGCACAAACTTTACAGATTTGACACTAATGAGGTCGAAATACAATTGATATTTTTTTTATATCAGTTCCGATTGGTTAATGGTTGCAGCAATGTTTTCAAATCGTTGCAATTATATTCACCTTGGGAACAAAGATAAGGTGCAGGGTTCTCTCGCTACCATAGCTCTAAGTTGTGGGGTACTTAAAGTTACCTTTCAGCCATACATCATTAGAGCACAGAGATATAGAGATGTATGCTTAACTCTTACGAATACGGGAGCTAAAACTCCCATCACTCTCAGCCACTGGATGTTTATTACAGTTTTTCCTATCCCTAAGTGCCCTTAGACCCTAAAAAAAATCTCAGAACTTAAAACACCTAATCCTGGTATCTGTAACTATAACTTAATATAGCAACGTTAAGATTAAGACGGTCCTCTTATTGCTGTACTTTGTATTATTGTGAATGTTATGCTATTAAGCATTGCTGAAACAGTTTTTGAGGCCAATACGGTTAACAGTGCTATTTCTAATAGTTACCTAGGAGATATCCACTAACATAAAACTAAAGAACTCTTAACCCTACGTATCCTGTAATTCTAACAGCAACATTAAAATTATAATGATATTATTTTATGAATGATGAGCCATTACAAACTGCAATTATTGAAATTTTCAAAGGCTTCCATTGTTCTATAATAAACAACAATGCAGCACACATTGGTGATGTTTAACAATCCTAAATTCCAAGCCACACAAATGGTCTATAATAATAAAGGCCCTATTTGCACAAGCCCAGATGATTCCTATTCTGTTACAGGTGTTACACTGGAGCTCCCTCTACTGGTTAATGTATATTCATGCTAATTTCATTATCCCCATATAATTCTTCTAGGACTGTCCTAGTTCCTTGTTTGTGTTCACAATGGCCAGGAATTGTCTGTTCTCCCTTTATCCACCAAGCAAAATGAATTAAAACCAGCTGGAAGCTAGGATTGTTATTATATTAGTATTTTCTGTGCTAAAGCGCAGTCCAACTCACCAATGTATTCGGTTTGATAAACTGCAGGAAAGTATTATTTTACATGTGAATTGTTTTACAAATAAAACATTTTAAAGTAAATAGAACAGTTGTGGA